AGCTGGAAGAAATATTGCTGATACAACCTAACTAATACTTCAGGCAACTATAGAATACAACCGGGCAAAACATTCAGTTACCGACAAACGACCTATTGATGTGATTCATTCTTCTCCTCCAGAGCTTGACGCAGAAATAAGAGATACAGTCCTTATAGCACAGAATATACAAATGCAAAGGTTAAACGAAGTAAGAGAAAATAGAAATTTCCAAGTAGGGGACAGAGAATCGTAAGATCAAATAGGAGACTGGGAAATAAACTAACATCCTTGTACAACGAAGAAATGGTAGAAGCAGACTTGGGGACCACAGTCTTGATTAAAGGGAGGGTGGTTCATAAAGATATTATAAGGTAACCATAATATGGGTTTCCTTTCTCACTTAGGATCTGGACTATGCTACTTCTTGTCACAATGACAAACGCTAAACTGACTGACTTTTCGAACGCGGACTACATACCAATCATGGACGGAAACACGACAATTTGGAAAGATTTCCAATATTTAAAGCACTCGACCAATCTAACAATGTACGCGGAAATGATGGTGAAACAGAGAAGTTGAGAAACCATTTTCCTCAATCACACATGAGACAGATACTAGACTCGGACATACAACACACGAGAACACTCTTAACAACAATAGACATTCACCATCGGCACGCCAGAAGCATTAATATGTTAGGCACTGTTTTAAAGGTAGTAGCTGGGACTTCAGATGTTGACGACTTTGAAAAATTGAAACTGACACAACAGGAGTTCATTGAATTTGCAAATAGGCAGGTAAATATTAATACAAAAACGCAATGACAGCTAAATAAGTTAACAGACACAGTAAACATGCTAATAAAGTATTCAATGAATACCCATATAAACACAGAACACTTATACGGAACTTTGCTCTCAAGAAATAGAATATTAATTTCGGAACTTGAAACTTTTATGTTATCTGTTACACTCACAAAGATTGGAATTATTAACCCAGCAATATTAGACACTAACGATTTAAATAACATAATCAGTGAGCGTTCTACGAACATAACCATTACTGACTTGATGGAAGTAGCCCAAATCAGAGTTATACTAAGTAACAATTTTTTACATTTTCTAATTAAATACCCTAAGCCAAGTTTAATATGTAAGAAGATTCTCTTGTACCCTGTACAACACAATAACACCATCCTTAACATAGCTGACGAAACATCATAGCCGATTGCGGTAATGAAATATTTCCAATCGGAAACTGCAGCGCTACGCTCACAACAACTTTCTGTAGAAGATTGCCCTATACTACGTGCGCCCAACAACTACAATCTGGTGGCAGGTTCCATTGCACCACTCGACCCAGACATCTCGAGTCATTCAGGGTCATCGACGACGGCGTCATCATCATCAACGACGAAACAGCGGCTATCACCACTAGTGATAACGAAGTCAAAATTGTAACCGGTACGTTCCTCCTTACCTTCGACGAAGATGTCTTTTTGAATGGTTCTTTATACCGTAACCTAAAGAGTTATGTGAACAAGTCTCCTGGCCCAGCAGCGTCAACGCCGGTCAACATAACAGCCCACCAGGAGATATTAAGCCTACCATACTTACAAAGACTGAGTATCGAAAACACGCATTTCATTCATCAGTCAGCTGGTTTCGGGAACAGATCCGGCAACCTACGATGACCTCATTTCCCTGAACGGCACAGTATACCTCAACCATCGGGGCGTCTTTACGAAAAAATCTGCGGTGTCCACCTCGTCACAAATCAACGTGAGCAGCGGAGTTAACACGCACAAGGCAAAATCAGCTGACCAGGTCATTCGACCGGACGTCGTTGCAACACAGATGCCAGTTCACACGCGCACGGTAATATCTGCTGACCAAGCTATCAGACCGGACGCCATTCCAACACAGCTGCCGACTCGCATGCCTGTGCCGAAGAACAACTGCAAGAACGGTCACGAGGCGATTCAGCATTCTATTGCCCACGCTACCGCTATGTCGCCTGATTTGAATATTTATTTAAGTTAGTTATAATGTGAAACTCAAAATGATCAGTTGAGATAGTAAGCCATTAATTGTAAGCTATTATTGTAACACGCAAAAGAAGGTATGCCTTGAAGTGAAACTTCTTACTTCACGGTTTTGTCCTGCTGGATCGGCAAGGTTTCGTTACGGAAGTGATGTCTTCCAGACACACAAGCAAAAGCCAGATGACGAACGAATATTGTAAACAAAATACATGCAGTTGTCGCCGCAAGACTCACAAGCAGATTGATGCACAAAATGCACGTAGTGCGTGTATCTTTGCTTGATTTGCCTTAGAATATACTCATAGCTCTACCGGTGATTTTTGTTGTCGATGTTGTTGTTGTGCTTCCGAATGCAAATTTCGTGAAAAATTTAACTACATTTTTCAAGTACTTCATTATAAATTAGCAATGTGTATTTTCCTTCATTTAACTGTGAAATTTTATTTTCCTGGGCCCTAGAGCTGCCAAATAATCGATGGTGACTGCATCCACTCTTCTCAATGTTTAAGCGGTTTTCCCAATAGTAAAATCGATTAATGTAAAACAAAAAATTTTTTTTTATCGTTTTCCATTACGCTTAATCAACAGTCCGAAAACTAATAATTTTCGAAGAACGAAGTTTCACTTCTATCGCTTATCGCCCTGACACATAATATTTTGTTTTGATGCACCACCCTACGCTATTAGGGAACCGTAAAGCCATTTGTAGAATCACCAATATCCTAGAGACTATAAGAGCTAGAGCCACAAAATCCAAATTTCCTCCCCCCATTCCGCTATTAGTGATTTTCCATAACTACGAATTCTTTAAATTTTTGCATCAGATTTTGCATATTTATGTTAAACAATTCGTTATTACATAAGTGTCCGTATGCCAAGTTTTATCGTTGTAGGCCGATTTTAAAGAACTTCCATAAATGCAGTCTCTAAAGCTCCGTCCCCAGCTGTTGTTGTTGTTGCTGCTTTAGATCAATTCAATATTGCGCGCATGCTCACACGAAGGTACGCAGAGACATATGTATGTATGTATGCATATGTAAGTATAGAGAAATTTACAAGTCGGGTACCCAACCTTAGCTTTTACATTTCTAACGATTTGTAATGACAGTAGCTCCTGAGTTACGTATCCCAGCCCAGCAGAAGTCCTCTGTGACCCTAATCACGGCCTTCAGCATCATAACCTACATCCTTATCGTGTATTTATTTAGGTTCGCTAAATAATAATAATAAAATGTATTTTTAAAATTATCGTTTTCCTAGCAGAATATATGTACATAATTGGGCCTTAACATTTCTGTCAATATTTTAGGATGAATATTTATAAATATTTATATTTAATAATATTTATTTTAATATTTAAATAAAGCAGATGAATCTATTACCAATCAAAATTAGTTGTAAGAAGTTAACTAATTTGACTGGGAAAGCTGGTAGACAAATTAACTTTTCGCTCTATTAACATTACATTTTCAATGGAATGCAACTACATATAATCGATATTGTGATTGGTGTCACGAGGGCAATTGTGACTGACGAAAAGTATCAATGGCAGAAATTGTGACAGCTAATTTGAATTTTAAGTCGATAGAATTGCTTTTAAGATGTTACATATTAAGCATATAGGCAAAATTGGTACTACATGATCATGTGCGCAGTTAGTACCATGTTCCAGGTAAGAGTAACGTATCCAAATCATTGTACCTGTGTATTTCATCATATTGTCACAGTTGTGACTTCCAGTGACAAATCACATATACTATAATTATCGCTCAGTTCTAGGTTGCGATAATATGCACAGTAGAGCTGGGGAAACATCGATGTTTACCAACATCGATGTTTCGATTTTTTTGGGGGAAGAACATCGATGTATCGATGCATCGAAATTCCACTAACAAATTTTCAAACAAAAATTAATATACAACATAGGGCACTTCGTTTTGATTTGTCTTATTTATAAAGGTACAAAAGGGTTTAAAACAAACGATATTTTTATAACTTCAAATAATAAACTAAAAACAAGAGAAAGTATAACATAAAAAATTATAGTTAATGACTAATTTCAGATAAAACAACAAAACAATATTTTCATAAATTGAAAGAATACAAGTATAACAAAATGAAAAGCATAACATAAAAAATATAATTCATGACTAATTATTTGAGATCCACTCATTTTTGTTAATATAAATGAGCATGTCTACATTCTTTGATTTAAGCGAACTCCTTTTTTCGCTAACTATAAGTCCAGCTTTGCTGAACATGCGCTCACTTTCAGTGGACGTTGCAGGAACGCAGAGGTACTTGCATATACATGCCTTAAGGGACTTATCATTATACTCTGTACATGAAATGTACAGAAGTATATTTTGAGATCTGTAAATAAAATGCTTCGTATTTTTTGTCTATAAACGACAAAATAGAGCTTGAGGTCGTTGGTAGTTCTTCAATTGGTGGTATTGCCACATGTTTGATACACTTTACCACATTTAAGGCATTTAGCAGACTTGCCATCCTTAGACTTAAAGAAGAAATTCCACACAGTTGACTTTCCATATTTTGCCCGTTTATTAGGACCACCTTCCTCAAGTTCCTTATCCATTTCAGTTGAGTTTGCATTACATAGAACAACATATTAATATATGTACAAATAATGAAAATACACATACACAAATAAGACTGCAGCTGCAAGATAAAAATTACCTTTGCTATTAGATTCTTTTAAAAACTTCTCCATTTCCAAGCACTGCCAACACCAATATCCATCTATAATATTAGTAATTTGTTCTGTATTATATTAGGGGATTTATTAAAAAAATGCAAATTTTAGCTTTTACTTACCTAGCTTTTCCCGCGATTTTTTTTCAAGTAGTAAAAAACATCGAAAATCGGAAATAAAACATCGATGTTTGGAAAAAATTGCAAAACATCGATGTATCGATTTTACATCGATGTTTCGCACAGCACTAATGCACAGGTGTGTTTATTTCTGACAGAGTTTTATTAAACGTCACCAATATATACAAATTTAAAAATGTTTTATTAATTCCGGGCTGCAGATTCTTCTGTCGGAGTTGCTGCACATGTGGATAATTGAGTGTATGTTTTCTTTCAGTCATGTATGTTGTTTTACATGGACATTGTAATAAAGGTTTCGTATTTTTAGAAAAAAGTTAGGAAAAACGTGGCTCTATTACAGTTTCTATCATTTGAATAAACAAAAACGATTTAAAATTAGGCATAATGTCAATACCAGGCAATGGGATTTATGTGGTCCGTGGTGAAATGACCACAATAATGACGGCCATGCGACGTGGTACACGTTGGAATGCGACAGCTTACGTGGTAAGTGGTTCATGATGAATACAATTGATAAAAATCCGACGTCATCAACAATTTTTCAGGACGAAGAGAAGGATAGTTTATTAAAGCTTTTTATTGATCTGAAACAAATTTTGAATCGAAAAAATGACTTACGCGTGATAGAACCAAACGTTTTTCTAACGCCTTTCCTGGAAATCATACGTACTGCAGATACTACTGGTCCTCTAACTAGTCTGGCTCTGGCTTCAATAAACAAATTTTTGTCCTATGGCTTGATAGGTAAGTAGATTATATCGATTATACAAATTACGACCAGTAAAATATTTTAATTACTTTCAGACCCAACCACACCCAACCTGCCTGTCATTGTAGAAATGGTAGCAGACGCTGTAACACATGCACGCTTCATGGGCACAGACCAGTCTTCTGATAGTGTTACATTTATGCGCGTCATCGAGGTGTTGCACACTTTAATACGAAGTCCAGAAGGCGCTGCTGTTAGTAATGAATCCATGTGTGAAGTGATGCTTAGTTGTTTTAAGATTTGCTTCGAGCCTCGACTAAGTGAGCTACTACGACGTTCTGCAGAGCAGTCTCTTAAAGATATGGTTCTACTCTTCTTCGTGCGCCTGCCTCAATTTACAGAGGAGCCAAGCGAAACGGGGCTTCAGAAACGCTTTAATATTTCCAATGCAGCAGGGGCCAGTACTAGCACTTCGCCTGCACACAAGGCATTACAAGTGTCACGAAATCAATCCATGGAAGTATCGGAAATCAAAAAAACGCAGTTTGTGTATTCTAAGCCTGATGAACCGCAAACTCCGCAGTGCAATCTTCTAAGGCCAACACATCGAAAAGTGTCAATTTTAGCAACAACGCCAGCAACGCCAGCGGGCAATGTTTTAGATATGCAGGGCAAGATCACACAAACACCTACTACGTTCGACGGGATAAATGATATTGTTAAAAGTAGTGAAACCGCAATGCCCGCTATATTTGCAGACAAGTCGGAAACTAGGGATACAATCATGTCAACAGAACCTGATGGAAGCTTCTACTCTGGTATTGACATTCCCGGGACTATCAGTAGCGAGTATATAAACTCTGTGGGTGTCCGTTTTACACAACAGCCGTTGGTGGAGGACCCGACAGCCTTGTCTGCTTCACTAACGCCTTATGGGCTGCCTTTTATTCAAGAGCTCTTTAGGTTTCTCATAATTCTTTGCAATCCACTGGATAAACAGAACTCTGACAACATGTTGCATACTGGTCTTAATCTACTCATCGTTGCCTTCGAAGTCGGCGCTGACAATATTGGCAAATACCAAGCCTTGCTTCAATTGGTTAAGGACGATTTGTGTAGGAATTTGTTATCGGTTCGTTTTAAAATTTATTTGAATTTTAATTTATATGAGTAATGAAATTTTTTTTAGCTGCTCAGCTCAGAACGCCTGAGTATTTTTTCTATCAACTTGCAGCTTTGTTTTCTGATTTTTGAGTCACTCCGTGGCTATTTAAAATTTCAGTTGGAAGCTTATCTAAAAAAGCTCAGTGAGATAATTACCAGTGATAATCCGAGGACACCGTATGAGATGAGAGAGTTAGCGCTTGAAAATTTGTTTCAGCTGTGGCGAATACCGGGCTTTGTCCCTGAGCTATACATAAACTACGACTGCGATCTGTACTGCACTGATATGTTTGAGAGCCTTACCAATATGTTATCTAAATACACATTATCGGCAACGAATGTTGTGTACAGCACGCACATTATATCCATGGATACGCTGATCGGCGTTATAGATATCATAGAACGCAACTGTATGGCGGCCAAGAGTAATATCGATAAAGTTACCGAGACTCATGCGCTTCAGACTAGCAGCTGTCGCCACTCTCGTCATAGTTCGGGACTTGAAGGAATTATAATTGAAGGCGGTACAGCGGAGACGCCGGTCTTCAATGAGGAGCGACAACAGTTTTCTATAGAGAAGATATCAAATTTGATTAGCAACAGTCCAAGACGACTACGCTTGCAACTTAGCAGTGAACAAATAACTAGCAAACAATTAATCGAAGTTAAGCAAAAGAAGATATTGCTCTCGCAAGGTACAGAACGCTTTAATCAGCGACCTGAAAAGGGCATTCAATATCTGCAAGAGCATGGTATACTTAACAATCATTTAGATCCCATGCAAGTAGCCTTATTTTTGCGCGAGAACCCCGGACTGGATAAAAAAATGATTGGCGAATACATCTCAAGAAAAAAAAACGTGGACTCAAAGATTCTAATTAATTTCGTAGATTCTTTCGACTTCACCGGTCTGAGAATAGATGAAGCACTGCGGCTTTATTTAGAAACATTTCGATTACCTGGCGAGGCGCCATTAATATTTCTTGTGCTCGAGCATTTTTCTGATCATTGGCACGTAAGTTACCAAAATCAATACGTTGAAAAAGTATCTACAAAGTTCGATTACCTGCAGAAACAAAATAATGAGCCGTTCGCTAACACTGACGCTGCTTTTCGGTTGGCCTATGCTATAATAATGCTGAACATGGATCAACATAACTTAAATGCAAAGCGTCTCAACGTACCCATGACGTTAGAGGATTTCACGAAAAATCTTCGCGGACTAAATGGGGGTAACGATTTTGATCAGGACCTTTTAGCTCTGATATTTAACGCTATTAAGTAAGTGTGTTTCAAATACACTAATTTTACTTATACTTACACCCACATTTGAACAGAAACGAGGAGATTGTTATGCCGGCCGAGCAAACGGGCTTGGTACGTGAAAACTACCTATGGAAAGTGTTGTTACGACGTGGTGCTACAAATGACGGGCGCTTCCAGTATGTACATAATGCAGCCTATGATATTGAAATCTTCAATATTGTATGGGGCGCTTCACTGAGTGCCTTGAGTTTTATGTTTGACAAAAGCACTGAGATGGGGTATCAAAGTGCGCTGTCAGGTAAATCCTATAATTCCGCCAAAAATGTGCAAATATATTTAATGTTATTCGTCACCGATTTTTTTTCTCAGGATTCATCAAATCTGCTGCTATCTCCGCCCATTATAATCTTCACGCCGACTTCGATGCACTTATACTAACACTTTGTAAATTCACTACGCTTTTGAATACAGTGGAGCAACATGAGCCAACACCACCAAACAATGGTATAGTCCATGCTGTCAATTTTGGATTGAATGCCAAGGCACAGGCTGCCATGAGGACAGTGTTCGTACTAGTGCATGAATACGGCGATTGCTTGCGTGAAAGCTGGCGCCATATTTTGGATTTGTTTCTTCAACTGTTTCGGCTTAAATTGCTGCCAAAATCACTTATAGAAGTGGAGGATTTCTGTGAAGTGAATGGAAAGGCTTTATTGATATTAGAAAAACCTCGCGAAAAACAAGAGTCTGGTCTGTTTTCCAGCTTGTACTCCTATCTCAGCTCAGAGGGTCAACGTGAGCCTACATACGAGGAGCAGGACTTCATTAAGCACGGCCGCAAATGCATTAATGAATGTAATTTAGATCAAATGTTGGATGAGTCCAAGTTTATACAACTTGAGTCACTGGAGGAGTTGCTAAAGTGCTTGTTGTCGCTGTTAAGAACACCTAATGCGCACAAGTCGATTGGTGTACCATATTCGGAAGATGTGACCGTTTTTTGGATGGAATTTCTTGTTAAGATTGTGGTTCACAATCGAGACCGCATGATTTTGCTATGGCCAGCAGTTCGCGATCACTTGTATCAGCTGCTTCTGGCCAGCGCCTCTTGCGGGTACGATTACCTACTAAATCGTTGCATTGTAGCTGTGCTAAAAGTAGCTATATACTTGATGCGAAACGAAGAGCTCTGCCCAATTGTGTTGCAGTCTCTTAAAATGGTACTCGTACTGAAGCCTACGGTTTTGCTGAGTATCTCAAAACAAATTTCGGTTGGAATCTATGAACTGCTTAAGACTTCAGCACAGAACATACACTCGGGTCAAGACTGGCAGATCATTTTTACCATCCTGGAATGTGTGGGAGCGGGTGCTATGCCACCAACCTTCGAAGATACAGCACTGCCGATACCTTCTGCTATCCATAGTGGGACCAAGTCGGACGGAGCCTTAAGCAGCGAAGATGATGGCGCGGTGCTAGAGCGTGGCTATACATCCGATTCGGAATTGAGCATGAAACAGCAACTGCATGAAAAGAAGGCAAAAAATTCAAGCCCGACTGCTGAGAATTGGATATTGATAAGCAGAGATAGCGAGCTGGCATCGCCCTCTAGGTGAGTTTTTATAGCCTGTACCCAAAGGGTAAAAGGCTATACTAGTTTTCTGCGAATGTACGTAACACACAGAAGGAGGCGTGGCAGACCCCACAAAGTATATATATTATTGATCAGGATGATAAGACAAGTCAATATAGCCATGTCCGTCCGTCCTAAGAAGGTACCTGACCTAGAATAACCAAACTTGGTATCCAGGTTCCTCTAAGCCCTAGATAGGTCAAGTTTATTTTTTTATTTTGATACATCCCCCCACTCTCCCGCTATTTTACTGTCGGGCTTGCTCTACTGTAGCTTTCTCTCTTGTTCCTTTTTATACCCTGTACCCAAAGGGTAAAAGGGTATATTAGTTTTGTGCGAGTGTACATGGAACACATAAAAGGAGGCGTGGCAGACCCCACAAAGTATATATATTCTTGATCAGCATGACAAGCCGAGTCGATATAGCCATTTCCGTCTGTCTGTCTGTATGAACGCAAGGATCTCAGAAAGTATAAGAGCTAGAATAACCAAACATGGTTTACAGATTCTCCTGAGCCCGAGAAAGGACGAGTTTTTCAATTTTCCCGATGCACCCCTATTCAATATTTTCTATAACTCCCGTTATTCTCGGAATTTTGAACTAAAATTTCAGGCACATCCAGTTAGTGAATTTATATCCGTATACTTAGTTTTGTTATGATAGGTTGATTAGAAAGAAAGTTATAACCATATGTACAAGTACACCAACACGAATAGACACGAATCTGATGTAAATGTTAATGTATGTATGCATGTATGGAATATTTTATATTTAATTAATTAATTACATCTATATATATAAAACAGTTTGTCCTGACTGACTGACTCACTGATTGGTGATCAACGCACAGCCCAAACGGTAAAGGCTAGGAAGCTGAAATTTGGACTCAAGTATCCTTTTATAGTCTAGGTGCCCACTAAGAAGGGATTTTGGAAAACTCGAGCTCCAAAGGGGGGAAATCAGGCTCCAACGTTTGTATGAAAAATCTACAGTTTTCATCTGATTAACTTCAAACTTAGTTTGTATATTCTCAGAACAATTCCAAGAAAAACTGTGTACTTGGTTTTTTATTATTATCATTATTTTTTTGGGCCTAAAATGTGGGAGCTTTCCTGTAAAAAAAATGTTGGGGCACAAAAGCAAACCGCGTCAACAGCCCACACGGTAAAAGCTAGGATGCTGAAATTTGGGCTCAAGTATCCTATCATGGTGTAGATGCGCACTAAGAAGGGATTTTGGAACAAAATTTAAAATTTTGGTAATGTAATCTACGTAACTAAATCTACAACTTTGCATTCGTGGATTTTCAAAATATGCATTTTACAAACTGGCAGAACAAACAATGCAAAATATCAAATAGTTGGGGACAACTAAGTATACATACACACACACACACACACATACAAACAGCTGTTCGTGTAGTAGCGTGCAAACGATTGAAATAGCCAAAGCAAAATGTGAGACACTAATGTGTGAATGTCCATACATATGTGCACATCTATGTATGTACATATGTATCTACATATGTATGTATGTACATTCGTCTTGCACTGACAGAGCAAGAAATTTTAATTTATTGAAAATTATATAACATTTTTAAAAGTAATTTTTTCTGTGTTTAGTGCATTTGGCATTAGGGTTTTCATTAATAACTTTATGCAGCAACAACAAATATCAAATAGTTGGGGACATCACATACACACACAACAAGCAATAGTTCGTGTCTATGTGTGCGGTTCTCTACGTACGGTTGAAAAAGTAAAGAGAAACATACATATGTATGTATGTATGTATGCCTGTGTATGAATATAGCATGTACATTCGTATTAATGTATACATTGGGCAATCGAACACAGTTGTTTGATTGTAAAAAAAATAATGCTCTAAAAACAACAACAACTGCAAGTCATTGGCTCGCTCTTCGTCTTTCGTTGTGACCATTTAATGTTAATTGCAAAGGCAAAACGCCAAAAGTTTACAGTTACCGTCGCTAGGCAACGACTGGGGCAGTAAAGCAGAAACCGAATAACGGAGCATATTCTGCTTCGCATTGCGGGCAGATGTATGTATGTATAAGATTTGTTCTTATTGATCTCAATAAATTATTAGATTTTATTATTTAAATATTCTGCTTATTGCATTCAAACTTCCATATTTTTATGGTATCGCTGGCTTCAACTATCGAAAGTCTTACTCTAGCAAATTGAGATGAGAATTGTCAGTGCTTTTTGATCGTGGCTCATCGCTGCACGGCATTGACACGAGTGCCGTGTTTCATATTCCAAGTTTGTGCGTGACCGTATTGACTCAAATGTGAATTTAAAATTAGGATATACCCTTATAATTATTCGCCTTTTTATACCCTGTACCCAAAAGGGTACAAGGGTATATTAGTTTTGTGCGAGTGCACATGGAACACACAGAAGGAGGCTTGGTAGACCCCACAAAGTATATATATTCTTGATCAGCATGACAAGCCGAGTCGATATAGCCATGTCCGTCTGTCTGTCCGTCTGTCTGTCTGTATGAACGCAAGGATCTCCGAAAGTATAAGAGCTAGAATAACCAAACTTGGTATACAGATTCTCCTGAGACCGAGAAAGGACGAGTTTGTTCATTTTTTCTGATCCACCCCCCCACTCCCCCCCTATTAACGATTTTCTATAACTCCCGTAATTCTTGGAATTTTGAACTAAAATTAGTAGTCACATTAGGTTAGTTATTATATAACCGTATACCAAGTCTCATTATGATAGAATGATCGGAAAGAAAGTTATAGCCATATAACCAGGCCCAATGCACACATACATACATATGTACAAGTACACAAACACGCATAAGGCACGATTCTGATGTAAATGTATGTATGCATGCATGGAATATTTTATATTTAATTTAGTTAATTAATTAAATTAATTTAGTTAATTAATTAAATTTAATTAATTAATTAATTTAATTACTTTTTTGTGGGGTGGTACAGGGTATTTAAGAGTTGAGCCTGCTCGACTTTAGCATTCCTTTCTTGTTTGCACATAGCCTATCTTAAAACGTTTCGTTATCTCTATATATAAAACAGTTTGGTGAACAACGCACAGCCCAAACGGTAAAAGATGAAATTTTGACTCAAGTATCCTTTCATAGTATCAAGTATCATAGTGTAGGAGCACACTAAGAAAGGCTTTTGGAAAATTCTAGCTCCAAAGGGGGGAAAACGACCTTTAAAAAATATATGTTATAATGGTCATGTTCGTTTAACGAAATAGTTTGGCAAGAACAAAAATGTAACGGACTACTGAACAATTTTTTGTCAAGAACAGAAAATGTTCATTTAAATACCTTAAATGCCTTCCTACTGGTAACTTATAATGTGAAAACATATGGGTAGGAAGTACTCGTATAGCGTACACGCATAAGGCATCTTTGTGCAAAATTTGGTGTCACTAGCTCTTATAGTCTCTGAGATCTAGGTGATCATACGGACGAAAAGGGCTAGATCGACTCGTTTTGTCATGCTGATCAAGAATATATATACTTTGTGAGGTTTGCCACGCCTTCTTCTGACTGTTACATTTTTCAGCTCGCGCAAACCTAATATACTCTTTTACACATCATGTACGGAGTATAAACAGGACGTGCTTCGAAATTAACAAATTTTAAATGTAAACAGAACTAGGCGAAATCCTTCAAGCAAGGGAATGCAGAAAATTATTATTTATTTATATAAATATCTTTTTGTACGCAAAATATTTAATATTACCTCAACAAATGAAGGGAAACGTCTGTAATTTGATTTAACCTGTCTTGGCACAATGTGTTATGGACAGATGAGTCCTCATTTCAGTTCCAGGTTTGATCAAAGCCATAAATTTAATATTTGCCCAAGCTCTACCCGCATCTGTTGTTGTTTTTGCTGCTTTGCACACAGCCATAGACACACATTAACTCACATATACACAATTCCTATGTAAATGCACTGTTATGTACCCTTTACATGAACGCTAATACCAAAGGAGCAAAAGCAATCAAAAATTTGTTTACTTGTTTTTAAAATTATCTTCATTTTTGTCATTTCTATAATTATTCTACACGTATGTACAAAGTATTTCATAGTCGAGATAGCCGACTTTAGCTTTAACACTTGTATTACGTTTTTATAGCCTGTACCCAAAGGGTGAAAGGCTATACTAGTTTTGTGCGCATGTATGTAACACACAGAAGGAGGCGTGGCAGACCCCACAAAGTATATATATTCTTGATCAGGATGAGAAGACGAGTCGATATAGCCATGTCCGTCTGTCTGTCCGTCTGTCTGTATGAGCGCAAGGATCTCAGTAAGTACAAGAGCTAGGATAACCAAAATTGGTATCAAGGTTCCTATAAGCCCTAGGCAGATCGAGTTTGTTTATTTTTTCTGATACACCCCCCCACTCCCCCGCAATTCGTGTTTTTTCTTATAACTTCCGTAATTCTCGGAATTTTGAAATCAATTTTGGTAGGTACATCCAGTTAGTACTAATGTGTCCGTGTGTTCATCATGATAGGTCAATTCTGAAGAAAGTTATAGCCATAAGTAAAATCGCTGCTCATGCGCTGCCTGCAGCCCTGTCGGCAGCGCTGCCCGCAGCTGTTGTTGTTGTTGCTGCTTTGGTTCAACTTTGTGCTGCATACATACAAGAATATAAACACGCATAGGTACGTGATGTAAATGTATGCTGTTAAAACTGAACATAAACATGTATTCTAATTTAATTTAATTAATTAATTTTAATTAATTAATTCATTCATTTTTTTTAATAATTTAATTTTAAAAAAAAATTTTTTTTTTTTTTATTTTTCCTTTTTGTGGAGAGTCAAGGCTATTTTACTGTCGGGCTTGCTCGACTGTAGCGTTCTATCTTGTTTTTTTTTTTTAAGCCTGTACCCAAACGGTAAAAGGCTACTAGTTTTGTGTAAATGCATGTAACGCACACAAGGAGGCGTGGCAGACCCCAAAAATTATATATATTTTTGATCATGATGACAAGGCGAGTCGATATAGCCATGTCCGCCTGCCCGTCCCTCCGTATGAACGCAGGGATCTCAAAAAGTATAAGAGCTAGAATAACTAAACTTAATATCCAGTACAAAAGTACGAGTTTGAGTTTTTTTTCGATGCTCCACCCACTCCCCCGCTATTAGTGATTTTCCATAGCTTACCTATATCTTGGAATTTGGCATATACATCCAGTTTGTGGTTATCTGTCCGTATGCCAAGTTTCATCATAATAGGTCAATTCTGAAGAAAGTTATAGCAATAAAAAAATCGCTGTTCATGCTCTGCCTGCAACTGTTGTTGTTGCTGCTTTGCTTCAACTTTGTGCTGCATACATGCATACACGCGTATAAACAAGCAGAGACACGATTCTAATGTAAATGTATGCTGTTGAAACTGTACATGAACATGTCTCCACTTTTGTATATACAAGGTGCGTTTGAAAGGAAACAGGACTTTTTGAATCTAGCGCCCCCTATGTCGACTGGTGCGTTAGAATCTGCTATCTTTATCGATTGTCCAGTGAGAATTTTATGACATTTCATCGATTGGAAGTGAAGTTATTGCGTTTTAAGTGTCAGTATGTTTGTGTTATCGGTGCGAAAATGAGCTTCGAACAAAGAGCCAACATTAAATTTTGTTTTAAAATTGGTAAAACTTTTACCGAAACGTTTCAATTGATGGAACAAGTTTATGGCGATGATTGCCTACCCCGTAGCAGAGTGCACGAGTGGTTTCAAAAATCAAAATAGAATTGAACATCTCCAAAACATCGATTTATCGCATTTTGACCGAACATTTGGGCTAACGAAAGGTGTGTGCACGGTTGGTTCCGCACAAATTGACTGACGACCAAAAATTGCTCAGAATCGATCGACGCTTGTGACCGATTATTTGACCAAAAATCACATTTTAACCATTAACCACTCGCCGTATTCACCTGATACAGCACCGTGCGACTTCTACCTTTTCGGAAAAATGCATTTGCCCATGAAAGGAGAGCGTTATGAAGACGTAGAGGCCATTCAAAAGGCTTGCACCGGCTACTGGTGGCCATACCGGCCAACGAGCTAAAACACTCGTTCGACATGCTTTTGGATCGTGCAAAAAGCTGTATTGAAGCAGGAGACTATTTTGAATAAAATAAATTGATTTTGCCGAAAACACCATTTCAATTTTTAAATTTAAATTTAATTTAATATAATTTTTTAAAATTACTTAAAAGAAATTTTTTTTATTAGTTTTTCCTTTTTGGTGGACAGGATATTGAAGAGTTGAACTCGCTCGACTTTATCATTCCTTTCTTATTTATTTTTAATTTATTTAATGAATTAAATTTGTTTAAATTAATTTTTTTTTAAAATAGTTTTTGTGGGATGTGTACAACAGAGAACTGCAACAAGTATGTTCGACCACCCTTGCTGAAAATTCAATCAAGTCAGATCTTTGCTTGGCTGCAATCGAGCTCGAACGAGTTGAGTACTCTCAGCATTTTCTTATGGTCGAACTTGCATGAGCAATCTTTATATTTTTACGAACAAGCACCGGTCTTGATTGTTTTGCTTTCGAGCACACCAGGCTCAGTCACTTTGCTTATTGTGGTCGGTTCGAACAAGTACCGGCCTTGACTGGTTTGCTTTCAAAGAGTTCAGGCTCGGTCACTTCGTTTAAAATGACTGGGTCCTGATCGAAGCAAACCACACTTTGCAGAATGAGCGTTTGATCGAACGAGTATAGTGCCGTTATTTGTCGAGTATTGTTGGGTATTGCGCGAGCTATACTCGGGTAATACTTGAGTATTGCGCCGGTTTTACCCGAGTATGACCGTATGAAATATGCATGTATGTACATATTTATGTATTTGTGCGTGCATGTGTTGTTTGCAATTATGCGCAAGCATGTGTATATGTATGTAGGTATTTTAAATAAAGAGGTACAGAATGAAAAGAAAACATATGTACACATATATTTATTTTTATATTATGATATTTAGCATAATTTTATTTCTTAAAAAAGGACCTCAAATATCTTAATAAACAAATTAATATAAATTAAAATAGCATAAGTTTTTTTAATTTAAATAAAAAGGGAGGTATTTCTTTTCGCTAATAGTTTTGTTGGCTTCTTTAATTTATATGCATTAACATACTTGTATACGAAGTTACTATTTAACTAATAGCCGAAAAAACAATAGAAAATGCAAGTGCACGTGCACGCGCCGATATCATTGATCATTTCGGTCATGCGGGCATGATTGTAAATACGACGTTCGATCATTTCTTGTACGCAGGCAAAAAGTTTCGGTCACCGCCGCTCATTATGAGTCTTTGCACTTGTGAGTCGAACTGTCTGGTTGGTGAGCGTTCGTTCACAACCGGTCATTGCTTGCACGCAGGCAAAAAGTTTCGGTCACAACCGCTCACTTCTGAGTTTTTGCAGTTGTGAGTCGAACTGACTGGTTGGTGAGGGTTCGTTTAAAACCAATCATTGCTTGTCATTATACCCAAATGAAATAATCATACCGAGTATGGGTAAATACTCGAGTATGACCGAAAATGTAGTACTCGATGCAGTTCTCTGGTGTACAAGGTATTTAAGAGTTGAGCCCGCTCGAGTCTAATATTCCTTTCTTGTCTTGGTACAGAGTAAATGTGCAAAGTATTTTAAAGTCGGGGCACACGACTTGAACTGTTACACTTGTTTTTTGTTTGTTCTGGTATTTAATTGACATCGTGATAATAATCTTTTTCACCATATCAGTCACATAATGCTTTTTATTTTTCCAATTAATTCACAGACCGCAATCACCACCTAATTCAGGCACTACTACAAGCTCATCGCTTATTTTTAACTGCAAGCTGCAAGAACATTCGCCCTTTGCTCTTTTCAAATGTTGGGACTCATTAGCCTTTATTGTGCGCAGCGTAGCTCACATAACGCCATACAATTTTGAAGCCTGTGTTCGTTGCATTCGAATCTTCGTCGAGGCTTCTAGAGATGGAGGCGTACGTCAACGCCGAAAATTGGAAACTGTCTATGCAGCACCGACAAAACGGAGGACAAACAAAAAGGTGCCACCAAAGCGCGGTGAACGCAGCGCCACACACAAGCAAGGGCCTGGAAGCCCTATCGCGGCAACTTCTAGCTGTAATTTGGCTTCCCTCGGGTCCGTTGATGTCAGCGATATTATGCCCAACGAAGAGGATGAGGACTTAGCACAGCGATATGAACAACTTTCCATACAGCTGCTCGACCTAATGTACACGCTTTACACGCGCACTGCCCAAATTTTTCGCTGGTGGGCTGAAGAGGGTTCCACTGCACAGCAGGCAGAATCACTTTGGTCCCCCGGTTGGTGTCCCCTGCTGCAGGGCATCGCTCGTCTGGCCATGGATAGACGACGCGAAGTACGCACCCATGCTATATCCTGCTTGCAACAAAGGGCGCTACTAGTTCATGACCTACAGACGTTGTCGGGCGTCGAATGGTCCTCGTGCTTTGAGCAAGTTCTGTTTCCACTCCTGAACGAGCTGCTACCGGAGAGGGCTGATGTGGCCCGACTGGATACAATGTTACTGGAAGAGTCTCGCATACGTACAGCAACCATTATGTCCAAGGTCTTTTTGCAGCACCTGACCACGCTTATCGAGCTGGGCAGTGCATTTGACGAGCTCTGGCTAGAAATACTTAGTTATATTGAGCGCTTTATGAAGGTTGGATCAGACACACTATCGGAGCAAATGCAGGAGATACTAAAAAATATGTTACTAGTCATGCACTCAGTACGGGTGTTTCACAACAAAGATGGCACTTTGCAGCATGCCCTCTGGGACCTAACATGGCGCCGCATTGGAGAATTTTTGCCGAATCTAAAGGAGGAGCTATTTCATGATGAAGGTACGTCTAGATCATCAACTGTAGCGTATGACCGTTTAATACGTACGTGCCATTATGCTTATGTCTGATCTTAGCAACTATTTTTTTTGACAACCAATTTTAAATCAAGATTCTTGATCAACTGACACATACTGACATTCATGTATATATATACCTGACACCCTGTATATATATATATATTTTTTTTTTGCATTTCTGCAGGCAAATATATGCTGACTTCGACTAAGCAACAGCATCAAAAACAACAGCCAGAACAACAAAATACTTTGCCTGCAATAGTGTCAGTGGTGAAATCCCCTATGAGTAGCATAACATTGCAACCTTCACAAATAGAGACGCACCAACAACATGCGAAGGTAAATAAATGCCACTACCTAAAATATACACATACTAGAAGGTCTTGCCCGTCTTTGATGGGCTAAGTATTTTTCCTTACAATTATAAGATAATTTACAATACGCTATTTCTCTTCCGACACTCCTCAAACTTTCTTAAGGAACTACCAATAGCATATTACTTTGGTACGTTCCAAGGGCATATAGTGCAATACATATTACTGTGTACGTTCATACGTACTATATTCTATTTATGTAGTATTATTAAAAGCAGTACAATTTGGGAAATATATTTGGTACTCTTAAAGCAACTATACATATAAATATACATAAGTAAACTATAATACAAATTTTGAAAAACATATATAAGCAAAGTTTAAAGTTAGAGTCACCTACACCTTAACAGGTAACTTGTGTCCAAATTTTAGCTTGTTAACGGATACTGTTGAGCACTGTCCGAAGGGTCCGCGAATAACGACAACGACAACCAATACACTTCACTTGGCAAAATGCAGTGGATATCTTGAGCGATTGTGGTGATGTTTTATTATCTATAAAGTAACTTAGTTTTACAAATTATAACTTTTTGCTGCGTTTACATACCTATCCTTTCCCTTCGTCTTGAATACTGACGCGATAATTCGATACTTAATTCTAAAGTAATCATCGATAAGTAGAGTCATTAACAAATAATCGACAGGTACTTGCAAATTAAAACAGTACAAATTCAAAACTTAAATTAATTTGTAACATTCCGGCCCCCGTGAATCGACAAAGTCGGAGCAGGAGATTCACCAAATATGTCGAGGACTGCCAACTTAGACGCTGGTCTTTGAAGCGTGGTAGTTCCCGTCTTTAGTGAAGCTTGCCCATCTCGAGCTAGTTGAACCGCAGTCAGTGGCGCAACAATAGAGTGGCAGGGCTGGCAAAATGCAACGGGCCCTCGACCCGACAAAATGCAAGGGCCCCACGTTACCCATGACGAGTAATTTTACGTATTTATGACCGTCAAAAAACAGTCAATCAAAATACCGGTAATTGCACATCTCTATTCATTTTAGAACGCGTCCATTGGCTGCTAAATATGTATTTTGTCGCGGTACGTTGGCAGCGCGGGTGAGCATTGACGATCGAGGAATCGAGGGGCGCCGCTGCTGGTGCATGCTAGCAACACTATGTTAGGGGAATTCTGGATTTGATATTTTTTTATGAGGGCTCTACTGACTGCGTATTCTTTGTATGATTATTTTGACAATTGGTTATTTGTATCTTTGATTTTACGTATTTGTTATTTTATTGAATATGAAAATGGTGGCAAAGTAAAGTTGATTGTGAAAGTTAGTTAATACCTAGTTCCAGAAAATATTTAAGTGGGAGCGAATTTTATCAAGTTTTATATCTAATAAAGAAAGTGAGTCTACAACTTCAATAACATTAAAAGTTCGGTTTGTTAAATTGCAAATCAGATGAAAAAAATGAAAACTACAATTTTATTATGTTATTGGTTATCCATTGCAAGATCCTACTTACTATCGATGCAGCCTCTAAGGCATTTCAGTCTAAACCCATCGATCTTTCAAATGCCTTAAAACGTTTGAAAATTTGTCTAGAAGAATTGGAAAGGTATCGACCTGAATTTGAAAATAAAAGCGAATAGTGTAGCAGAAAAGTTTTCCATCACCCGTGAATTTTATAAAACTCGACAGAGGAAGGTAAAACGCAATTTTGATGAGCTTTTCGAAGATGAGTGTCTACAAGATCCGGAAAGTTTGTTCAAAGTGAACATATTTTATCGAGTATCATTATAAACCAAATGAAATCGAGTTTCCTTCAAATGAATGAAATTCTTTCAAATTTCAGTTGTTTGCAGCCTACCATTTTAAAAGTTTTAAATGAGACTGATCTATTAAAAAAAGCTCTAGAATTTGTTGAGATATATAAAAAAGACATAATTTGCCAAAGAAATTCTCAGTTTTCGATTAGAGATTATTAATAATGAAAAATTATTTTATGTTCTGCTGCTTTCCTGAAGTATGCACTGCATTAATGTTATTTCTTACAATTCCTGTGACTACAATATCTTATTGTGTAAACTTCGTATATTTATTAAGCATTATTCGTTACGGATGGCTTATATTTATTGCGATTTTAAACTTCGTGCACACTTTATACCTCTCTTCTCTTGTTCTTCTTCATTCAGTGTGTCCCTACCGCCACGCCATATCAATATACTTGTACACTCTTATTTAAATACTACTTATATGTTACAATAGCATCGATACATATCGATGTGCGTTAGACCTTTACATTCGGCCAACCTGACATTTGATCGACCTCGATCACAATAATGGTTTACAAACACAGACTTATTAGCTTATCGCGCGTATGCATCCATGGTTTGAGTCCCGCTGCCTCTAGAATTCCTAAATATGGTAATTGCGTAAGCTGCCAATCGTCAATATCAGTTATTTCATACCGATCGTTCGGAAATACACGGTTTACTTTATATGGGTCGCCATTTTTAGGAGCGAATTTCTTACATAACCCAGGAGTGGCGTCGACATTGCGAATAGCGACAAAATCATTTACGAACTTCGTTGCGTTCTTGCGATAATTGAATGTTAGCACCAGCTTTCTGTCTTACGGTTTCAAGGTTGTCGGGGTCCCTAGAGCTGAATTTCTCTACCAGGTACTTGGTTAATTCATCTACTATAGGTTTCCTCTGATCACAACCAAACAACAAAACACATGGAGTTTTAGCAGTACTAGATTGCACCGAATTGTTTAAAGCATACTCAGTCCGATTAATCAGTTTATACCAGTCAGCTTGATTGAAGGACTCGGACAACTTTTCCAGTATCGGTATCAGCACTCGATTCACCCGCTCGACCTGCCCATTGGCTTGCGGCGCTGCAGTGGCTACCTTTATATGTTCAATATTTCTAGTCTCAAGGAACTCTACAAACTCAAACGACGTAAAGCATGAACCCCTGTCTGAAACAATTCGTCGAGGGCGACTATAATACTCAAAATAATTTTCCAAGGATGCCTTCACTTCTTGCGTACTGGTAGAATTAACAGGGTATAATTTCACAAACTTAGTGAACGCGTCAATGACAACCAACAAATGCTTCCTCTTCGAGTTTATACTTGGTAACGGACCCAAATGATCAATGTGAATCGTGTCAAATGAGACGGGGTTCTTTGGAATACTATGCAATGTTCTGTTATGTATGGCTTTTGGCACGGAGTGCAAAATACACGGCAAACAATTCCTAATGAATGATTCGACTTTACTTTTAATCGCACTTTTTCGGCTGCAAGGTGACCTAATTTCTCATGGCATCTTCTAATTAATTCTTCCTGCATTAGAGTTGGAGCATACAAGCATAGTTTTTCCTCAGTATTCATTCTATACACAATTCCATCTATCAACTCAAAATTTTGTGCAGCGCCATTTTCCAATTTTTCACTCAGTTGGCGCACTTCAGGATCTCTCATCTGTTCCGTCTGTAATAGCAAATCAACATCTTGCGGAGTGGCACCCACAACACCAAATAATTTTGTGCATCGCTGTTGTCTAATACGTTATTATCAAACGAACTGGCCGAATCTACTTTTCTAACTAAATCACGCGCTTTCTCTATGTCGGGTTCTTTGGACACAATAACACACGGATCAACTACGTCCCCAGAATTATCCTGTAAAAGCTCAGTTTGTCTACTCAATGCATCCAAATGCGCCATATTTGAACCTAGTCGGTGGGCGATCGAGCAATTATAGTTTTTATCGACTTCTTGCTCAAAGTCTGCACCAAGGAACTACAGTCAGTAACTATTAGAAATGGACGATGCTCCAAATATGGCCAGAGTCTCAAGCTCAAAGCTATGATAACGCGACTCGGCTGCCGTTGCTCTTCTAGAGTAGAAGAACACTGGGTGAAACTTGCCATCGGGCTGCCGTTGCATCAACGCAACGCCGAATCCATGCGAGCTAGCATCCGTATGCAATTCATTTACATAATTGGGATTAAATATAGACAGAGCGGGCGGACTGGATAAGGCAGATCGCAATGTGTTGAATGCAACTCTTTCAAGCGCTTGCATTGGAAAAGGGCCTCCCTTTTTCAGCAACTCTGTTAATGGCTTTGCCACACTTGAAAATTTCGGAACAAACTTGCGGAAATAGGAAAATAATCCTAAACATGAATGTAACGCTTTAGCAGTGAGTGGCTCCGGGTATTCTTGAATAGCTTTGAGATGTGAGTTATTAGGAAGAATCCCTTGGGCGCTGACATCATATCCTAAGTAGTCGATTCGCTTCTGTAAGAAAATACTTTTCTTGAAATTAATTTCGAGGCTATTCTCACAGAGTCTATCAAGTAGTTTTCGCAGCAATTTAACAGACTCCTCGTCTACTCCCATATGGAAACCGCTTTTTAAATCAATTACAGAAAATACCGATTTACCCTCAAGGTATCCCAAAGAATCTTCTATCAAGGGCAACGGGAAATTATCTCTGGTCGTTTTCTTATTTAATCCACGGTAATCTACGCACATCCTAATTTTCCCGTCTTTCTTTTTCACCAATACCACTGCCGATGAGTATGGGGAATTACTTGGCCGAGTAAGCTTATTTTCCAACAACTCTTTTATAGTGTCATTGACAACACCCCTCTCGTAATAGGACAATCTGCGGGGAGTTATAGAAGGCAGTAGTGTCAGTCAGTCGAATACTCATCATAAGCTTAGGTGACCCGTAACTCATCGAAAACTTGTCAACATAATGGCCATCCACAATTCTCTGGCACTCCCGCATTGCGTCGCAACCAAACTCGCCGCCCACGCCAACAATGTTGTTGTCCAATGCTACAGCGCAAACTGATTGCATTTCCGAAAACCAATTCTGCAACTCACTCTCAACCATAGATGCATTCGTGCTTACAGAAACGTTATTAATGGCAATGCCAACAGTATTGTTTTTCTTATCATTATATCTAGGTAATTTAGCAAACAGAGATG